TCCCTGCCAACATTCACACACTCCATTTCATTTTTCATTATTTGTTCATCTATTTACAATGCACACAGAGTGAACACGCTTAGGCTTCAAATGCTGGTCAAAGACAATCTGCACCAGATCACTGGTGCCTGAGAATCTAATATTAAGACCTCAGTGATGTAGAAGTCAGAAACAAAGACTTACAAAGAAAGCCAGTGTTTGCCAGAAGCACCCCATCACTTACAAAACTTACACAAGTGCTGTGGGATGAGGGGAACATCACTGCATCATATGCCATATGACGCTTGACTCTACTGAATACAATGAAAAGAGAAATGGTTGATGTGGATCTGGAATGGGAAGAGGTTTGGTGTATGGCAGATGTACTGTTTTGGATATTTGCATTAGTCACTCAGCCAATGCAGCACCTTCATTGGGTAAGTGCACAATGCTGTGACCAGACCCATGGTAAAAGCTGATGGTAGGGCTGCTGAAGGTGTGGTTCAGCAGCTAGGAGCAGTCAGGGGGCACCCTCCGATATAGTCAGGACAACATCATCCTGGCAGTTGGAAATGGGGCATAGTGATAAATGCAGAGGAACTGAGGGAATGGGAAAGATGATGAAAACACCAGCAGGAGGAAGCATTCATTTTGCATAATGGAAAAGCCAGGCAAGACCTGAGTGATGCCCCATTTCAGTAGATAACAGCAGACTATCATGACTGTGGAATGTTCCTTTGTACATTTGGTCTGGGTTGTGAGGCCATCTGCACCCTCTATTCACTCTGTATGTGCCACTCTGTATGGCTGTTTGGAATTCTCCAATCACTTACCTCTATGTGATGCCCCCTGCTGGACAATGAAAACATGCAAATGCCCAGGCAGCCTTGGAGACAGAGTGGTCCAATGGTTAAACACTGACAAGGATGACAGAGTGAAGTTGTAGTTGGGAGGGTGTACCAACCATGCCAAGATTGTTTTGTGGCTGTTGTGTCATGACATTCCTGGTGAGGGGCCATTCAGAATTCTCAGTACTTGTCTAGGAGCACAGCAGCCTTTTAAAGATAGCATGGGTTCAAGGGATGCTGTCTTTTTTTGGCGATATCTGTTCAGTGACGAATAATCCCAGGAACAATGCACAGTAGGGTGGGAATAGAATCAGATAAGGGGGTGACATAAGGGTGGGGTAGGTTGATAATAAGGTGAGTTTGAAATCTTGCTAGGCCTTGAGGCAAAAAGCCTGCCAGAAAATACAACCCAACTTGTACTTATCCAAAAAGACATAGCATTCAGCCCATAGTGTCATATTTACAGAAGGAGGCTATTTCACGCATTGTGTCTGCACCAGACAGCACAGATTTAACTTCACTTAAAAAAACAAACAGAAAGATCTGTGAATGCTGTAAATCAGGAACAAAAACAGAAGTTGCTGGAAAAGCTCAGCAGGTCTGACAGAAACTGTGAAGAAAAAATTCCTAACTTCAACTTACTTCTTGTTCCAGCTTTGGTCTATAGCCATGGAGGCCATGACAATGCAGATGAATGGGGTGGCACGGTAGCTCAGTGGTTAGTACTGTTGCCTCACAGCACCAGAGACCCAGGTTCAATTCCACCCTCGGGCGACTGTCTGTGTGGAGTTTGCACATTCTCCCCATGTTTGTGTGGGTTTCCTCCAGGTGCTCTGGTTTTCTCCCACAGTTCAAAGATGTGCAGGTTAGGTGGATTGGCCATGCTAAATTGTTCCATAATGCCCAGGGATGTTTGGGTTAGACATAGGAAATGCAGAGGTGGGGGATGGGTCTGGGTGGGATGCTCACCGGAGGGAGAGGTGTGGACTTGTTGGGCTGAATGGCCTGTTTCCACACTGTAGGGATTCTATGCTTACTAAATACTCTCTCAAATATTACCAGATTATCTGTCTCAATCAGTGAGCTCCCACCACCCTCTAAGTGCAAATATTTCTCCTTCACTCACCCCTTCAACCACGACCTCTGCTGACCGATGGAGTAAGTTCCTTCCTATCTACCTTATCTATGTTCCTCATAATTTATACATCTCAGTCATGTCCCGTCTCAATCTCCTCTGCTCTAAAGAAAACAACCCCAGTCTGTCCAATTTTCCTTCATTACTGAAACTCTCCAGCCCAGGCACATCCTGGTAAATCTCCCTCTGTACCCTCTCCAGTGCTATCACGTCCCCTCTATAATGTGGATTCCAGAACTGCACACAATACTCTCACTGTGGCCTAACCAATGTTTTATACAGTTCCCAGCATCACCTGCCTGCGTTTAAGCTTTGACTCTTGACTAATGAAGGTAAGTATCCCAGGTGCCTTCTTCACCACATTATCCACCTGCCATGGGTCACCATGTCAGAGTGATGTGGAGGTGCTGGTGTTGGACTGGGGTGGCCAAAATCAGAACTCACACCACATCAGGTTACAGTCCGACCATTTATTTAAACTCACAAGCTTTCAGAGTGCAGCACCTTCATCAGGTGAAGTGAGAGAGAAGGACACAGACACAGATTTTATAGGCAGAGAGATCAACGGCTGAGAGATCAAAGGATCATACTACTGGTGTGAGTGGAATGTCAGATAATAAGTCTCTGCCGGTGAGTGTCAGACAGTGAGTAAAGTGTCAACAGCTGAATAACCAGTGAAGGGATGACCTATAATCCGATTAAATGAGGCAGAAAGATAATTACAAAATATTCAAAATAAGATGGAGCTGGAGACAAACTAAATAACTGGAATAACATGATAGGTACAAGAGTCACATGCTGAGGGTCTAACCAAAGTAATAGGTAACCCAAAACTGTACCAACTAATTAAGGTAGAGAGATCATAACAAGTTATCAAGGTGATGGTGCTAAAACAGGACAGTAAGGAAGATTTTACAGAGACAGAACATTATGGTACGTTACATGTAGTGCGACATGAACCCAAGGTCATGGCTCGGCCATCTTTGTGGGTATGGAAACCCATCGTACAGGGAACCCCCAGCTTCTGTCACAATAGTACAGATGTCTTACAGAAACTGAGCACCCACGGACCGGTCAAACCAGGAACATTCCTTGTCACAATGGACGTTTTGGCTCTCTACACCAGCATCCCCCATGACGATGGCATCGCGCTGCAACAGCCTCAGTACTCAATACCAACAACTGCCAATTTCCAGATGCCACCCTACAACTCATCTGCTTCATCCTCAACCACAATGTTTTCACCTTCGAGAACCAGTTCTTCATCCAGACACATGCAACAGCCATGGGGACCAGATTTGCTCCCCAATATGCTAACATTTTCATGGACATTTGCTGTGCAGGACCTCCAACCAGTGCTATACACCAGATACATTGACGACATTTTCTTCCACTGGACTCATGGCAAGGAATCACTGAGATAACTATATAGCGATATCAACAAGTTTCATCCCACCATTAGACTTAAATGGACTACTCTTCAGAATCAGTCTCATTCTTGGACACATGTATTTCCATCAAGGACAGACACCTCAGTACCTCACTCTACCACAACCCCATGGATAACCTCACAATGTTTCACTTCTTCAGCTTCCATCCTAAACATATTAAAGCAGCCATCCCATATGGACAAAGCCTACACATACTCAGAAACTGCTTAGATGAGGAGGAATGAGACAGAGACCTAAATATTTTGAAAGATGCCCTCATAAGAACGGTATATGATACTCAACTCATCGATCACCAGTTCCAACGTGCCACAACAAAAAACTGCAACGACTTCCTCAGAAGACAGACAAAGGACACGGCCAATAGAGTACCCTTCGTCATCCAGTACTTCCCCAGAGCGGAGAAACTACGCCATGTTCTTTGCAGCCTTCAACATGTCATGATGACGACGAACATCTCACCAAGATCTTCCTTACACCTCCACTTCTCATCTTCAAACAACCGACAAACCTTAAACAGGCCATCGTTCACAGCAAACTACCCAACCTCAGGACAACATCGACCACAACACCACACAACCCTGTCATGGTAACCTCTGCAAGACACGTCAGGTCATCAACATGGACACTACCATCACACATGGGAACACCACCCACCATGTGCACGGCAGATACTCATGTGACTCGGCCAATGTTGTCTATCTCATACGCTGCAGGCAAGGATGCCCCGGGGCATGGTATATTGGCAAAACCATGCAGACGCTATGACAACGGATGGACAGACACCGCGCGACAAGCACCAAACAGGGATGTTCCCTCCCAGTAGGGGAGTTCTGCAGTGCTCAAGGACATTCAGCCTCAGATCTTCAGAGAAGTGTCCTCCATGATACACAACAACACAGAGTCGCCGAGCAGAAACGGATAACCAAGTTCTGTACCCATGAAGACGGCCTCAACCATGGCCTTGGGTTCATGTTATGAAACATGTGACTCCACTACTGTTCTGTATCTGTAAAATGTTCCTTACTGTCCTGTTTTATCACCATCACCTGGATAAATTGTTATGATCTCTGAACCTTTATTAGTTTGTACAGTTTTGAATTACTTATTACTTTGGTTAGACCCTCAGCATGTGACTCTTATACCTATCATGTTATTCCAGCTGTTTGGTTTGTCTCCAGGACCACATTATTTTTAATTTTTTATAATTATATATCAGACTCGTTTAATCAGATTATAGGTCATCCTTTCGCTTGTTATTCAGCTGTTGACTCTTTACTCATGCCGTCTAACAATTCTGATCACCTGCAGGAATTATTATTTGACACTCCACTCACACCGTTTCTATGATCTTTTGATCTCTTTGCAGTTGATCTCTCTCTGCCCAGAAATTCTGTGCCTGTGTGCTCTCTCTCACTTTACCTGACAAAAAGGCTACGCTCTGAAAGCTGTTGGGCTGGAACGTGGTGTCAGGTGATTTCTGACTATATGAGAGAGAGATACAGAGAGGAAGAGGAGAGAGTGAGACGTTCAGGGTTTTGTGGCGATAGGAGATCAGTGTCACCGATAATGATCAGTTCACAGTCTGACCTGTAGGAGCAGACCATCCTGACAGTAACATCCCGAGCTGCAGTTCCAACTCAACTCCTCTCCCACACTGAGCTCTGTGCAAGTGTCAGCTCCAATGGAACAATCCCTCCACACAGTCCCTTCAGAGCAGTTCGATGGATGGGCTTCTGTTATCAACAAAGAACAAGGGAAGGGAGCACAGAGGGTCATTAGCTGGATACAAACTAGCACCAGGTACATAAATACCACGCACAGCCTCACACAGTCATCAACCTCACCCTCATCGACAGACACACAACACATTCTCAACTACACGCACTCCCTCAGCGCTGACCCTCCGACAGTGCGGCGCTCTCTCAGCACTGACCCTCCGACAGTGCGGCGCTCCCTCAGCACTGACCCTCTGACAGTGCGGCACTCCCTCAGCACTGACCCTCTGACAGTGCGGCACTCCCTCAGCACTGACCCTCCGACAGTGCGGCACTCCCTCAGCACTGACCCTCCGACAGTACGGCACTCCCTCAGCACTGACCCTCCGACAGTGTGGCGCTCCCTCAGCACTGACCCTCCGACAGTGCCATGTTCCCTCAGCACTGACCCTCCGACAGTGCCGTGCTCCCTCAGCACTGACCCTCCGACAGTACGGCGCTCCCTCAGCACTGACCCTCCGACAGTGCCGTGCTCCCCACCATCACAATCTGTGTGTGAAGTGTTCACAGTGAGACAGTATTCCCTGTCAGTTGTGTTTCTCGGAGATCCTGGTATTCAGTGTCTATTTCTCCCAGTTGGCACTCACCACATGGATGAGTGTTACAGCTGGTCAGCTGACTGCTTTGTGATGAGATGTTCACTCGAGTTCGGTTCCTGAAGCCCCCTCCACAAGAGACGGAACATTCTGACCAGTGACCCCACTCACTCCACACTCCTGGGGCAAACAGGGACAGGAAAGGTAGTTAGACATCCTGCAATGACACCACATTTAACCTCAAAGGGAGTTATGATACCATCCACCACCCAACCCCCTCCCTCGATCGTCTAAGCACTAATGTCCTAACCTGATCCAGTCTCTCTTCAAACATCAGTCTTGCCATCCCAGGATGGCAAACATTTGGTAAACATTTACTGCACTTCATCCACAGCCAGAACATCCTTCCCTACAGAAGGAGAGTAAATCTGCACACAATGCTCCAGGTGTGGTCTCACCAAGGCCCTGTACAACTGCAGTAAGACATCCCTATTATCTCACTATGAAGGCCAACATACTTCTTCACCACCTGCTGCACCTGCACATTTACCTTCAGTGGTTATTGTACAAGGACACCCAGGTCCCACCACACTTCCCTCTTTCCCAATCTATCATCCTTCGGATAATAAAATGCCCTTGTGTTTTCACTATCCTCATCATACAGCATCGGCCATGCATTTACCCACTCACTCAGCCTTTCCAAATCACACTGAAACGTCTCTGTATCCTCCTCGCAACTCACCCTCCAACTCAGCTTTGTGTCATCTGCAAAGTTTGATATATTATAGTCAGCTTCCTTACCTAAACCATTAATAAATATTATGAATAGTTGGGCTCCTAGCACTGATCTCTGTGATACCCTACAAGTCACTACCTGTTATTTGGAAAAAGACCTGTTTATTCCTACCCTCTATTTCCTGTCTGCCATCCAGTTCACTGTCCATCATAATACAATATCCCCAATCCCATGTGCTGATCTCACCTCCTTTTTGTGTTTCTTACTCCTACTTTTTGGTTTTTGAGCCTGATGCTGGGTTTGCCTCTGGAGATATGCAGCTTTATTTGGTTGCTGTTACTCACTGTCACAAAGCTGCAGACTGCAATATTCCGTTTCCACCATGTCACCCTCGCACTCTCTCCCACCCAACGCTGCAGGGGGGTTTGTGGGAGATCGGAATCTCCGCCTGGATCCAACATCACAGCTTCTACTGCAAGAACTCCACGGTGTCCAGCGGCTCCAAGAACAGTCCACTGCAACAGGAAAACATGGGAAAAACACAGGGAAATGTGGGAAAACATGGGAAAATGTGGGAAAACAGGGAAAAACAAAGGGAAACACAGGAAAATATGGGAAAACACAGGGAAAACAAGCATAAGCATAGAATGCAAATGAAAACAAGTGAAATTAACAAGAAATCAGGTACATTCATATGATCGGATCTTCATCCGATCTGATTGTAAGCACAAGCACATAAATCCTGATAACTGTCCACCTCCTTTCTTAAATGAGAATCTATATACCTCTTCTTCCTGCAACTTTCAAAAAGAGAGTTCCAAAGATGCTCAACCTGTTGAGAGACAAAAAAATCGCCTCATCTGTGTATTAAAGGGCACCCCCTGATTTTTAAATAGTGAGCCCTAGTTCTAGATTTTCCCATAAGAGGCAACAACCCTTCCACATTCACACTGTTGAGATCCTTCTGCTCCCTACATGTTTCAGTCAAATCACCTCTTGTTCTCCTAAGCTCCAGTTGGTACAAGCCCAGTCTGCCCAGTCTTTCCTCGAAGACAACTCAGCCATTTCAGGCATTAGTCTGGTAAACTTTCTCTAACCTGCCTCCAGCGTATTTACATCGTTCCTTACATACAGAGACCAATACGCACACAGTCCTTCAGATGTGGTCTCACCAGTGCTCTGTGTAACTGAAGCATGGTCTCACTAAGTTCTATATTCTCTTCCCCTTGTGATAAATGATAACATTCGATGACCTTTCCTGATTACTTCTGTAACTGCAGACTAACCTTCTCTAATTCATGCAATCAGACACCCAGATCCTTCTGCATCTCCGAACTCTGCATCCTCTCCCCATTTTAATAGAATGCTTCTTCTTCTTATTGCTCCTGCCAAAATGGCAATTTCACTCTTTCCCACATTATACTCTCTTCGCCAGAGGTCCATGGACAGGTGAGGCTGGAATGAAGGATGCCAGGCAGAGAGAGAGAAGAAAAGGGCAGAGGGTGAAGGACCATTTGGGAGTTGTGTGAACAGGAAGGGATGGGGGTTAGAGTGGGTGGGGAAGGAGTGATATGATGGGAGGGAATAGATCAGGCAAGGGCAAGGGACACAGGGATGATGCAGGAGGATAAGAGACTGATGCTGCAATAGGCTCAGTGACTTGTTATGACAAGTTGAAGAATCATGGCCAGCTTCCTAATTCCTAGTTTAATTCTTCTGAAAACTCTGATCAAACCATCACAAGTCTCCCTGTCACATGTTCTCTTCCATCATCATTAGGAGAGGTGCAATTCCCAGTCCCACACATTAACCCTGACAAAGTTCCTGACCACACTGGGGAGGGTTGTTCAGGCAGGGATGAGGATGTGGACAATAGGGAAGAGTGTTAGGAACGGAAGGCGGAGTTTAGTCAATGAGGTGAAGAGTTGATTTGTTCAGTACCTGCACATGGAAGATTGCCACAAACCAGCTCTCCAGACTGACACGTGCTGTAACAGGAAAACAAACACCATTAGTGAGCTGACTGAGAAAACATGCTGCAGACAGGAAGCCAAGCGTGGGTAGGGGGTGAGTGTGGGCTGAGGGAGGGACGGAGGGTCTCAGGAGTGCCGGTAATTTGTGCTGGGTTTGTTATATCGTGGTGGGCACCCAGGAACAGACAGGCCTGTACCTTTAAGACATTCTGATAGAAAGGCCACACCTGGCCTCAAACAGAATCTCACTTGTTGTAAACACCTGAAGGGACATGGTATCTGATACTATCTGTGAATCTTTGGACATCGATTCTGACATCACACTGGCACTAAAACTCATGTACCACCCTGACCTATCTGAGTGGTAGGCACAGCAGCTTTATGTTGCTGTTGCTATGCTATATGACTATGACTGAGAGTTACTGAGTTGCTAAGTTCTACGCCATGGATTCACACACTGGAGATGGGACCAGATCACCAACAGAAAGCACTGCAGTGAGATGTCAATGGCTTCCTCAACTGATACATTGGCAAAGAGGCAGCACATGGACACCATGTTATTACTGCTCTGTAAGCTCAGTATGGTCTTCATAAGGAGAAGTTTCTCAGAACTGGGTGCAGCAATTCACCCAATTGTCAGGAAGAGTCAGAAAGGACCTCATCTCATTGGAGGCAGTTCAGAGAAAGTTAGCTAGGATGATCCCTGGTATAAAGGATTGTCTTTTGAGCAAAGGTTAAACAGGGTAGGACTCTACTCACCGGAGTTTAGAAGAATGAGAAGTGATCTCATTGAGCCATATAGAAGTTTTAAGGGGCTTAGCAGAGTAAATGCTAAGAGGATTTTTCCCCTTGTGGGAGAGTCTAGGACAAGAGGGCATAGTCTCAGAATAAAGGGATGCCAATTTAAGACTGATATGAGGAGGAAATTCTTCTCTCAGAGGGTTGAAATTCTTTGGAACTCCTTGCCACAGAGAGCTGCGCATGCAGAGTCCTTGTGTATATTTAAGGCTGTGATCGATCCTATTGAATGGTGATGCAGACTCACAGGGCCAAATAGCCTGCTCCTGTTCCCATTTCTCATGGTCTTATTGTATATACACAGCAATTAGAG